GCATTCTGGCTGCACTTCTTCCAACACAGATTTGTTTGTTTTTCTGGCAGTCCAACACCATAGCTCAAATGCATCAATTCTTCTAGGATCTTCCTTATTTCTGGTAGCCACAAAAATGAATTTTGGTGTCAACATTTGCTGACGTAGTTCTGGTGGTACTGTGGATCAGGCATTGGGTTTTATAACTACAAGGAAAGCAGTTCAAATCTGCCAGTCGCCTCACAGAGGAAAGATTTACAATCTTGGGTCACTATGAGTTGGAATCAACTTGATAGCAGTTGGGGTTTGGGGGGTACGTGGTGGTTAGTTAGGTGCTATGGAGGTGGTTCCGACTCATAGCAACCCTCTGCACAGCAGAGCAAGCTACTGACTGTTCCTGGTCCATCCTCACAATGGTTAGGTTTGAGCCCAAAGAGGCTGTACCATGCCAATCCATCTCGTTGTGGGGGGGTGGTCTTCCTCTTTTTCACTGACCCTCCACTTTTCCAAGCATGATGTCCTTCTCCAGGGACTGGGCTATTTGATAACATGTCCAAACTATGAAACATGAAGGAGCACGCTGGCTGTACTTCTTCCAACACAGATTGTTTTGTTATACATTTGCCTGCTTCATCTAAGTGGTGGTTGTTGGAACCGTCAAGTCAATTTTGACTCGTAGTTGACACCATGTGACAGAGTAAGGTTTTCTTGTGTCTACTGGTGCAGATGACCAGGTCTTCCTCCCTCAGAGCTGCGAGGTGGGTTAGCTGGGTGGGATCCTACAATATTTGTTCCTTCTTGACCGAGTTATTTCACTCAGCAGAATGCTCTCAAGGCTTCCTGTGTCTTCAAGATCCCATAATGCTTTCAAGATGCTATATTGTAGCATCGCTTAAAAACAATTTATTAGTAAAAGAACAGGAATGAATTACTGCCCAAGAATGAGTTTTTCTGCTTTGTGAGTGTGTGGCTTGTGGATTCATTCCCACCGTGGTGTTGCTCAAAGTTGGAACAGTAAGGAACCAGTTGGAGTTCAAAAGGAAATAGTGGCCTGTTTTTCCTCCCCCTTAAAAAAATAAGCTTCAAAGGTTCATGAATGGGCGGCTGCAGCCTGGCCGTCTGAATCCTGGCCGGCAGCCTGGCTCCTGCTGGTCATCCACAGGGTAGTCCACTGACTACCTCCTGCCTGTGAGCGAATGTGTTCATTCAGTGTTCTGAGGGAGAACGAGGAGATGCTGTTCTTTTGCTTGCCAGCCCTAAATATTCCTTTGCATTCTGGGATAGCTGCTCTAAACCCACGATGAGACTACTTGGTGCTGATAGAGGGAGAGGTACTCATGGGGAGGGGGTGTGGATTCACATTATCATCCTTCTGAATGGTTTCCATAGAGATGCAACCAACAAATTTCCGGCAACGTGAGGTGAAAATAAATGGATAACATAGCTGTGAGAATACAAACATTAGGCTTTAAAGAGAAAATTGATGTTGAGTCCAGAATATATATTTATGGGGTTCGCTGTTCCAAATTTTTGGCTGTTGATAGTATCAGTCACTAGTACCATCAGAGCATTGGCATTTTCCTTGTGGCAATTTCTGTTTTATGTGATTTGGCACCAGGATGAAAATGGGGGAATTTCATGAATGTCCTATTGCTAAGCCCCTACCACTCCGTCCTTCCTCAATTCCAGAAAGAAGTCACAGTCCAAATGACAGAAATTACGATGATTCTGGAGTAAATGCTCATGCTCTGTTGATTCTGTCTATAGTATCCTGTTTGAGGCAATTGGATGTTTTCTTGTTGGTGCAGACACATGCTTAAGATATCAGAATACATCTAGAAACAGAAACCAATTGAGTTACATAGTGAATTGGAATGTAAGAGTTGTGGGGTACAGATGCGTTTTCTTAAACACTGTGCTTTGCCTGGTGGAGTTTGGAGGATTATGACTGATTTTTATCTTAATGGTTACTGTATATCTATACTTTAAATGTGTCCACAAAGATAACATGCACATGCATATAACACACACACGTGCATATAACATATAACACAGGGCACATATGGCAAAGTATAACTTGTGAGGGAGTTGTTTGCAAAAAAAAAAAAAAAAGTGTAACTTTTTACAGTTTTACACATTTTTAGTGTAAAATATGGTATCTGAGTTTCCCAACTTTCACAATGGACATGTCTAATGTAATTAGCAAAAAAAGAGAGCAGTAAATAGGTTCCTGACACCTAGAAAATACTTCGACATGGCAGCTGGTGTCTTTACATTTTTGAATGTACAGTAAAAAGGAAATAGGAATTACTGTTAGCCACACCACCTGAGAAAAACACTTCTCAGTTCACTTCTTTCTTTTGTGTGTGTGAGGCAATAACATTTATTTCTTTGTATAAACTGAAAAAAAAAGGGGAATCATAGAACCTTAAATAAAAAAATGTCTCTCAAAATCTTTAAGACCAAACAATTGTTGTGCCATCATGTCAGTACCAATGCATAGAAACCCTGTGTAGGGTTTCCGAGGAACGGCTGGTGGGTTTGAACCACTGGCCTCTGGTTAGCAGTCCATTGCTTATCCTACAGCACCACATCAACTTAGTTAGTAAAGAAAGTCTGCCTTGTGTGTTGTGCTAGTTTAAGACCTATCTATATGGGTTCAAATTGACAGCAACAACTCCAAAGGTCAGATAGAAAATTTAAAGGTGGTGAGTTTATGTATGGAGCACTGGTGGTTAAAGCACTTGGAACACAGGTGTTCGAATCTACCAGTTGCTCTCGGGAAGAAAGATGTAGCTGCCGGCTTCCATAAAGGTGGCCACCTTGGAAACTGTGGGGCAGTTCTGCTCTGTCCTGGTCAGTCACTGTAATTCGGAATCAACTTGATGGCAGTGGGTAATGGAAGTTTTTGTTAATGGCTGGGGGACAGTTTGCAAAAGTTGAGGACGATTGGTCACGCAACTTGAGGAACATAATCTGTTTTCACGGAATGGTTCTTGTAGAAACTGTTGAGTTGGTGTATATTCTCAACCAACAAAATAATCAATTAATTTTAAAAATAAGATGATCTTAGTTTACATCATTTCCTCCCCGTAAGTTTTTGTCTTGGTGGTGGTGTTGAGAATGTATGTACACAGCAGAGCATACACCAATTCAACAATTTCTTCCCCCACAATTCCATGAAACCCATTCTTTTTCTGAGTTGGTCCTCTTCTGTGAACATGAACTCACCACACTGTAAGCTTCCTATCTAATCTTTTGAATTGCTGTTGTCGATTTGGTCATATAGATATGACAGTCTGTCAATATCAATAGTTCTTATAAGATCATAATGCTCAAGTTAGACATATTTTACTACTTAAGTTAAACTGTTGTTCAGTTTTAAGGTGACTTTAGGGAACACTTTTGGTTTAAGCTTTAAAGATTTTCTCAGTGAAATAGTTTCAGGAGTTCTTCCATTCTCCATGACTCTAGAAAGTCTATGAGAATTTGAAGTTCTGTTCTGCATTTCCCCCCTTTTGGTCAGGATTCTTCTTTAGCATCTTTGATCAAAATGTTCAGTAATGGTAGCCGAGCATTGTCCAGTTCTTCTGCCTCATACGTAGCCCAGGAGGCAGGTGTTCACAACACAGTCCATATCCTCTTCCTGTTCCTAACCCTCCTTCCTCTGCTGCTCCAAGTAAGTAGAAACCACCACTGTGTCCTGGATGGTAGCCTGCAAGCTATTAGGACTCAGTCTATACAATGAATTAGGAGATAGAAGTGAAGTGCTAAACGTGTTATTAGACCAATTAACTGGATGTCCCATGAAATCATGACCGTAAACCTCCAAACCAAGGAACCAAATCCCATGACGTGTTGGTTGTACATAATCAGCCTTTTTCCCTTTTGCTTTTTCTTCTTTTTTTAAAAAAACTTTTTATTGTGAATGGAGTGACGCTTTACAGACAAGATCATCAGTTTCACATCCAACAAATCATAGACTCTGTTTCATCTTAATGATTGCATCCCCTCCACGCAACAACACTTCCTCCCTGTGGTTCCTGCTTCCATTCCACCCCTCTTCCGAGCCCTTCTCAACTTTGTCCTTAGCTAAATGTTGCCCTTTAGATTTTGAATGATTGACCATTCCGTGGTGAGCAGACCTTACTAGGGTTGTTGTCCCCCTATATACCTATCTACTGTTTGACCAAAAATTGGGCCACAACGGTGAGTTCCTTTCCAGACTTGAAGGGTGCTCGAGGGCTATAGTCTCATGTTCCGTCAGTCTCTTCCTGACCAGTAAGCCCAGTCTTAATTTTTTCCACACTGTCTCCCACTTTATCTGGGACATTCTAATGTGATCCCCTTTTAGAGTCGTTGGTAGCAGTAGTCGGGCACCCTCTAGTCTTCTGGTCTCAGAGTCATGGACACATGTTCCCATGTTCCACTGGTCCAACTGGACAGATTGATTCCAAGCATCTTCAGTTCTTATCATTCTTCTTTCTTCCACACTTGGAGAGACCGATAGCTGCCTCTCAGATGTCTGCTCATGAGCTTTTAACAGCCCAGGTGCTACGCACCAAAGTGGGATGCAGAACAGTGTCTTTGTGGACTGTGTTATGCCAGTTAACCATGGTGTCCCCGGAGACTCTGGTCCTGGGACACCTCATTGCCTTAAGAGGTTTGAGAGTATCTTAGACGTCTTCATCATTTTGCCTGCTGTTTGCTCCAGAGCATTCATAGGTGTGTTTGTAGCAAAGGTTCAAATATCTTCTTTCAAACTCTTATATGTATTTGGGTTTTTTTTTTTTAAGTTTTTTTTAGTGAATTGAGTGAAGGTTTAGAGAGCAGAGCATCCGTTTTTCATTCAGCAAAACCTTGCTTCATTACAATGATTACAATCCCCTCCATGTACCAATGGTGAATAGTACTTACCTCTGTTCACGTTAACTCTTGCATTCCTCCCTGTGTCTCCCACTACCTCTGGCACCCTCCCTCCTGTTGTATATTGCCTGCCCTGTCACCCATGTTAACATGTCTGTACCCTCTGTTGTTCTTAAGTGCTGAAGTGTCAGTTCCAAGTCATAGTGACCCTGTACAGGGTTTCCGAGGAGCGACTGGTGAGTTTGAACCACTGACCTTGCAGTTCCAACGGACCTTGAAGGCGTGTGCTTATCCTACAACACGTACTGTAGCCCATGAATAATTCCCTCCCCCCACTACCTCCCACCCCCTACATCTTACTTTTTAGATGAATAATATCGGGGCTATATACCATGTTAGAAACTGTTCTCTTTCAGCATTGTTTTTAATGAATTCACAGTAATACATTATCAGTGTTGTCTAATTAGTGGATCATTTCCCTGTTAGTGAACACCTTGTTTGCTGCTGACTTTTCAATATTCTATTCAGTGTTATCATATGTTGTTATACTTTTTTTTTGTCAACTTTATGTATATACTGAATTGTCTCCCTATGTCTCAGATGGGCTGGCTTCTATGTGTGCATGTATGTGTACGTCTACTTATTAATAATAGGATTCTAAGTAAAATGTAACGTTTGTGTTAGCAAGGCAGTGTAAGCATATAGCCAGAGTAGTGTGGGAAAGTTGTGTGACTGGAGATCACAACTGCCCAACTGCCCTTTGTCTACCCTTTTGTAAAACCTTGTTTCTGCTCGGACCCCTGTGCTGCTTGGCTGCACTGTGTATGGAGTACTTAATCATTCCAGGTCACCCACCACATACAGTCTGGCCAGCTACTTTACAGTTGCTAAGCCTGGCTGTCCAAGGAGCTGACGGAAGCAAGAATTTACTCGGCTGCGTGTACACGCAAAGCTGCTCCAATTAAAGGTTCAGGAAATTATTTCAGAGTCCAGACGCTGTACTGTTGGCTGAGGCAAGCTCTCCCCACTACCTGCCTACCCGAGTTAACAAGAGACTGAAATGATACTTGAATTGAAGCCTTCCCAAATCAAAGAATGGATATAATGGCCTGAAGGTTATTCTGAAATGAAGCAGGAGAGGAAGGAAATGGGCTTGAAAAAAGAAAACAAACGAACAAAAAATTCAGTGCTTGTCTGTCTTGCGAGTAGAGAAACAGTTGTTGTTCTTAAGTGCCATCAAGTTGGTTCCAACTCAGAGCTTCCCTGTACAGGGTTTCCAAGGGGCAGCTGGTGAGCGTGGACTGCCGACCTTGTGGTTCAAACAGACTTTGCAGTCCAGTGCATTAAGCCACAGCGCCACTCCAGGACTCCAGAGAAACAGTGGGGATCTGAAAGGCTGGCAGCCACACGTAGTTGTTTGAAACTAAATCTGAACTTGTCTACCGGAGTCAGAGGAAATCGATTTTAGCTGAGAAGCAGGCAGCTCACCCTCAATCCTCTCACCATATTTCATTTGCTTTCAAACACACCTCTCTCTAAAATGATTTCAATTATTTACTGACTCTGATTCCCTTTGAGAAGGCACCCTGGTGGCACAGTGTTCAAGTGCTTGGCTGCTAACCAAAAGGTCAGCAGTTCAAACCCACTGGCCTCTGTTAAGATGGCAGCCTCGCGAATTCTCAGGGGCAGTTCGAATCGCTCGGATGCAGGGGGGTCTCTGGAAGTCAGAATTGACTCAGTGACATCCCAGAACAACAGCACCATTCACCTCTAGAATACAGTCCCTTTGAGGTGTGGGAACTGTATCCATCTTGCATCCTGTGTGTCACCAGAACCTATAAGAGGTCTTGGCACATAGTAGGTCCTCAGTGAATGGTTGTGGGATGAGTGAATGAAGAAAGGAATCATTAAAGGATGAAGGAATTACATCAGTAATGCATACAGTAAAAGCCACATTCCTGCCTTATACCGGGAGGAAGTAAGATTAAAATCTGTATCCATTTGTATAGAGTTAATTTCTGCAGACTCTTAGAAACTAAGTAATGAGAATCCTCAACTAGACCTCTGTTAACTTCTTGGGAACACATAGAACCTCTCTTGGTTAGTATAAAACAAAGATTTAAAAAAAATAAATAACAAAGGTTTTACGAACCAGAGTATTAGTTACATGGATGCTTTTCTATTATGAACTTGAATGACGTAAACGTTCAGCTGTAAGAAAGGTAGCAAAAGGTAAGATTTCTGCTTATTATACCATTATTGTTGGTGGTGGTGTTAAGTGTCCTCGAGTCAGTTCTGACCCATTGTGACCCTGTATAGGGTTTCCAAGGAGCAGCTCGTGAGCTTGAACCACTGACCTACGGTTCAGACAACTTTACAGTCCAGCACATTAGCCCACAGCGCCACCCGAGGACTCCTGTTATACCATAAGCAAGTTCAAATGGACATGAAGAACCAGCTTACAGTGACGCATAGACGCAAAACCAAACCAACCCACTGCTGTTGAGTGAATTTTCTACTCTAAGGACAGAGTAGAGCTGCTCCTTTGAGCTTCTGAGACTAAATTTTTATAGGGGCCAACGGCCTCATCTTTCTCCCATGGAGTAGCTGGTGGGTTTGAACTACCTACCTTGCAGTCAGCAGCCCAATGCTGAACCTATAGCACAACCAAGGCTCTGTATACATACGATGTTGTTGTTAAGTACTGTCAAGTTGGTTCACTGGTTTAAGCTCACCAGCCGCTCCTTAGAAACCCTATACAGGGTCACTGTGGGCTGTAACCAGCTCAACAGCACTTAACAACAACAACATATAGGTGTTTAGAGTCCTGGTGTGGCACTGTGGGATTATAGCACTAAACTGCAAGGTCAGTTTTAAACACAAGATCGGCAGTTCAAACTCTTCAGAAACCCTATACAGGGTCACTGTGGGCTGTAACCAGCTCAACAGCACTTAACAACAACATCTAGGTTATTATGAGTCCGTACGTAACAACAATTTAATTCTAAGCTTCCTTATGAAAGCCAAAAGGACAGTTTACTGATGTGTCCCCTGATTCTCCCTAAAGGAGGCAGGTGTTGAATTCTAAAATGAAGACATTTGCTGAGCTTCTCTGAACAACAGTCATGGTGTGGACCTGGGCTTGTTTCCCTTACAGGATTACCCAGTATACCCCGTACCAGCCAGAGGTGTCTCAGGGAAGGCTGGAGTGCTTACTCAACTACCAGACCATGGTGTGTGACCTCACAGGCCTGAACACGGCCAATGCATCCCTGCTGGATGAGGCCACCGCAGCGGCGGAGGCCATGCAGTTGTGCTACAGGTGAGTCCGTCTGTCTGTCTGCCTCCTCTGTCTCACACACTGATTGCATGACATACTAGGTCAGTAACAGCAATTTTTGGTAGCTGCTGGTAAGGAAAGCAAGCCTTTGGGTTCTGTGCTCAGCTCCTAACTGTAACGTTGGAGGTTTGAGTCCACCTTGAGGAGCCTGGTGATCTCCAGAAAAACCAGCTATTAAGAATCCTATGTTTGACTCTGACATACTTGAGGTTGCTGTGAGTTGCCACTTATTGTGCTGTTAAATAAAACACTATTGTTTATTGTTCATTGGAGTTCTAGTGTGGTGCTGCGGGTTAAGCGCTGGACTGCAAGGTTGGTTTGAACCACAAGGTCGGCAGTTCAATCTCACCAGCTGCTCACTGGAAACCCTATACAGGATCATTATACCAAACTCATGGCACTTAACAACAACAATATTTGTTGATTGTTTAACATTATATAAGAAAGACTTTTTATTTTCTCTTATGCAGTGCTAAGTCCAGGCCTGTTATGGTGACTCCAAAAATACCATCAGGGATCAAAGTTCCTCTTTCTGAGCCTTGAACGTAGTGGGCTTTAAATCGTTTTCTGGAAGCCTCCACTTACGTTTCATTGACCACCCTTTTTTGCAAGCGACATGGGAAATGTAGTTAAATGTTTTGCTTTTTTTTTTTTCTAAGATGGGAACATCGCTTCCCCTTGCATTTTAGGGAATGTTGCTAATCATGAAGAAGAGATGAATATTGACTAATAGGAACTAGCCAATGATGTCCTTTTGGGGAGAGTATTGTTTGTATATTCTGTTTAGTGTTTCAATGTTCCTTGTTGTTGTTAAGTGCCGTTGAGTCTATTCCGACTCACAACAACCCTGTACAGGGTTTTGCAAGGAGCAACTGGTGGGTTTGAACTGCCAACTTTGTAGTTCACAGTCCAGTGCTTATTCTACAGCACCAGACAGTCCACTTTTATTTCCTATTTAACAATATTTTGATCTCCGTGATTCACTTTCTAGAATGTTATTTATTGGGTACACAGCCACCCACTTGCCTAATTTAGTCTCATCCTTTCTGGTAGACATTTTTTTTAAATTCTCACTTGCTACAGTTATTGTTATACTTACGAGCATCCTTACAATCAATTTGTCATCAAAACTTCTGATGGTTTCCTCAGCTTACATTTGAAGAAGTAGAATGACTAGATTCTGGTGAATAGCTACCATTGCTCTCCAATTTCTCACCTCCTTGAATCCTCTGCCTTGTGAGTTCTTGTGAGTGGACAGTCGTGTTGGGAAATCTGCCCACGTTCGAGGCACATCTGTCTCAGTTTATGACCCTGTACCTGAATGCCCTCGGAAGCCCCTTTCTTAGCTTCCTGGGACTAGGAGGTGATGGTACTCAAACTCATGCCGCAGATTCAGAGGCCTGCATGCTTCTGCTCAGCCACAGGAACAGCCCTGGGGGGTGGTTCAGGCTCTTCTTTCTGTCCCTTAAGGACAGCCACAAAGGAATGTCATCCACCCACGTCTTCTCAGCTCTGTTTCTCATTGCATGGCCCTCTTCCTCCTCATTCCCATCCTTTCGCATCTCTCCCTTCTAACCCCTTCCCCCCTGCCCTCTGTTAAATATGTTTAAGTTCTCTGAGCTTAAATTTTCATCTCAGACTTGAGCAAGCTGAGGACTTTACTGCCCTGGATGGTGCAGCGTTTCTACCCCAAGCTTATGAGCCAAACACAAACTGCAAGCATTTGACTTGTCTCCTGTCTCCTAGCTCTCACGCCTGTGGGTGTGTACTTGTGAAAAGTTGTCCAAAGACCTTCCTTACAGGAATGATGGTTATGTCAGGTGCCATGAAATTGATTCCAACACATAAAACGTAAACCTACAGCCATAGAATCTATTTGGACTCATAGAAACCCTATAGGGGATTTCCAAGGCTGTAAATGTTGGGTTTGAACTGCCAACCTTGTGGTTAGCAGCCCAGGGTTTATCCTATAGCATCCACATACAACAGAACCAAACACTGCCCAGTCCCGCGTCTTCCCTCACAGTGGTTATTACTTTGAGTCATCTCGTTGGGAGTCTTCCTCCTTTTTGCTGACTCTCTAATTTCCCAAGTGTGATGTCCTTCTCCAGAGACTGGTTCTTTCTCAAGACACGTCCAAAGTATGAGAGAAGAAGTCTCACCATTCTGGTCTCTACGGAACAGTCTGGCTGCATTTCTTCCAACACAGAGATGTTAGTTCTTTGGCAGCCCATGGCACTTTCAGTATTCTTCACCAACATCCTATTTCAAAGGCATCAATTCGTCTTTGGTCTTCCTTATTCATTATCCAGCGTTTGCATGCATATGGGGTTTTTTCTTCTATGGAAATGTCATTATGATAGGGTGACTATTTAATAATAATGGAATCTCATTTTGCTAGGAAACTTGCACTTTTAAAGTTGTTTGTAAGGCTTTGTTCTTTTAATCTTAAGCTACATATGTAGTGTTGTCTCCACCTTATATACTTGACGATGAGATGGGTCTGCAGATTTTTTTAGATTCAGTCTGTGAAGAGCATTGCACTTTTGGGAACTGTTTTCACATCTACCCAACTCTATTAATCCTCTGTTAAATATGTTTTTATTACAAAGTTAATACTTCGTCATAGTGGAACAATTCTACAGAAGAGAAGGATGTGATGAAGATTAAAGCACTCTTACCCATTTCTACTTCTTAGAGAAAGCCGCTGTTACCTGTTCCTTGTGTGTCTCTCTGGGAAAAAATTACACGTGTAGCCCAATATCCACATAGCCTTCCCCTTTTCTTTTTAGTCAGATGTGGTCCTAATATAGGCATACTGCAGAAATATTGTGGATTCGGTTCCAAACCTCTGCAATAAAGAGAATAACATAATAATCCCAGCTGCATGGGTGTTTGGGTTTCCCAATGCATGTAAAGTTATGTTTACGCTCTGACGTAGCTCTGATGTGCACTTTTGTTGTTGTTGTTAAATGCCAGTGAGTCCGTTTTGATTTATAATGGCCCTGTATAGGGTTTCTGAAAGAACTCTGGTAGCATAGTGGTTACGAATCGGGCTGTGGGCCACAAGGTCAGCAGTTCGAAACTACCAGCTGTTCCGCAGGAGAAAAATGAGGCTTTCTGCTCCCGTAAAGATTTACAGCCTTGGAAACCCTGTACAGGGTCGCTATGAGTTGGAACCAACTCCACGGCATATAACAACAACTACGTAGGGTTTCTGAAGAGTGGCTGGTGAGCTTGAACTGCCGACCTTGAGGTTCAGATTGACCTTGTGGTCCAGCACATTAACCTACAGCACCACCTCAGAACTCCAAATGTGCACTAGCATTACCAAACAAAAAGTTTGATATGCTACGGAATCCAATTTCTGGTTGACCCTCTTAAAATGATTCAGAATTTTTAAGAGGAAGAAAGCCAAGGACAGTGAGAATGACCAATGTGTGATCTAGGGATTCAGCATGAGCACCTGCTGTATTTGGGGAAACAGTACTGCAGCGGGCTTGCCACAACCTTCGATTTGTGGAAAAGGCAATCTCGGCAAAGCGCACCAAAGTGCAGTTGCAACAAAATGACAAGTGTCCAGATGTGAACTGTTGACCATTCCCATTCATTCTGGTTCCTGAAACCATGGCTGTCCAGGCTTTGGGTCCTAGACCCATCTCTACTCGTCACTGACTATGTGGCCTTACACACATCACAACGATTCTGAGGATTTTTTGTCTTCTCTTGAAGGGAGACTCTTGGTTTAGATTGTCTCTGAATGCTCTGTTGGCAATCAAATTTGATGTTGTTTTCATTGTTGTTGTTAACTGCCATCGAGTTGGTTCCGACTCATAGCGACCCCGTATGGGGTTTCAAGGAGCGGCTGGTGAGCTTGAATCGCCGATGGTGCCGTCCAGTGGTTTAGCCCACAGCGCCATTGTGTCCACTCCACACATGGCGACATTGTGTTCTATACAACTGGAGGAGACTGCCCGCTTCTGCAGCAATCTCATGACCACTCACATGCTCGCCTCCATTGTTGCAGCGTCTGAGCCAGGGCAGCTCAGCGAAGGGCTCCCTTGCTGGCCCTGCACGTCATCAAACACAATGTTTGTTCTCCTCCAACAATTGACCCTTCCTGATGACACGCCCAAAGCAAACAAGTCAGACAGTCTTCCAGAGGGTTTTTCATTGGTACATTTCAGATTTCTAGACCTTTCCTTCTAGCCCGTTTTATTCCAAAAGTATACTGAAACCTATTCACCATAGGTGACCTTGCTCTGGTATTTGAAGCCAGTGGTATAGCTTCCAGCATCAAAACAACACAGCCACATGCAGGACATTATAGTATGACAGACAGCAGGTGGTGAGGATGTTTTTATTAGAAGAATTATTGTTTGATTTTCATTTATTGCCTACCCACGATCCATTTCTTTTTTCATCTTAAAAAATCTGAACCATTCGAAGGCTGTTGTTGCTAAAAGAGGTTGAACTAGTAAATGCCATTAGTTGTTAATGACGCAATGTTTTTCATACTCTGTTCAATCCTCCCCAAGTACTGTCTTTGTTTTGTGTTCTTAGAGGATCGCTGATTCCTTTTTTGCTCATGTTTGAATGTGATTTCTCTTTCAAACAGACACAACAAGAGGAGGACATTTTTTGTAGACCCTCGTTGCCACCCACAGACAATAGCGGTCGTCCAGACTCGAGCCAAGTAATGAACTCCATTTGTGTTTTGAACTCAGGGGTAAAATGTCCATCTGTACTGTTTGTCTCTTTCTCACTTCCAGACTGACTGGAGTTGAAGCTAGTTATACTGGAACTGTTGAGTTTTACTTTCAGGCTTTTCCTACCCTGTGGGCTACACACCTGTTTCCTTCCTGGATCTCTCCAGGGCATGAATTGTGTCCACATTGAGGGGAGAGACCGACACACAATGGGAAGAGACCATGTGAGGAACCTTCTATGGAATATTAAAGAAAGCCAAGGGCTGCCAATAAGGAAGGCCCCTCATCTAAGGGTTGAGGCCATAATTTGGTTTAATAGCCTCCCAAATTGTAAGACAATAAGTTACTGTTTAAGCCAAAAGCAAAACCCAAAACCCCAAAGGAATTGAGAGGAGAGTATCCAGGGGCTTTTGTTTCCCGTGTTTCATAGTAAGGTATCATATTGTCTTTTGTTTCTTGTATAGCCATTAAAAATCTGAAAGTCATTTCAACTGTGCCTCAGAAAGTTTGAGAAACAGGAGACAGTGGAACCCTCACACGGTTGTTATGATTTCGTGCGTGTTTCTTGCAAACATAGATTGTTTTATGGCAACCCACACACACAACACTCCCAGGTGGGAGTGGAGATGTCTTTGTTGTTTCAGGGTCCCTAACTCCAGGTCTTCTCTGTGGAACAGCTTCTGACAGGAAAAGGGGAGGAAGAGGGGTAAAGGTGGACTGTTAGGATGTGCTTGTAGGAATCACTGTTGTGAGGGATGGGGTAGGTGTTGAGGGTGTGGGATCAAGGAAGGGCTCTTCATCCTTCACCGAAGAGGTGATTTGATTTCCCTTTTGTCTCTTGTGTTTTTAGATACGCTGGAGTCCTCGTTGAAATAAAGTTACCCCACGAGATGGACTTCAGTGGAAAAGATGTCAGTGGTGTTTTGTTTCAATACCCCGACACTGAGGGGAAGGTGGAAGACTTCACGGAGCTGGTAGAGCGAGCCCATCAGAGTGGGGTAGGGAAACCACCCTCTTTGGGGGCCGGCATGGTCCGGTGTCTTTTTGTTTTCCACACCCCCAATCCTTAGCTTGATTACTTGGAATGGTAAAACTCTCTTGGTTTTAAATGTGTTTTGTTCAAGGATTCCTAGTATATTGTAGGAATAGGAGTCCTGGTGTGGCGTCATAGGATAAGCACTCGACTTCAAGGTCAGCTTGAACTACAAAGTCGGTGGTTTGAACTAACCGGACACTCCTTGGAAACCCTATACAGGGTCACTCTGGGTTGGAACTGATTCGATGGCACTTCACAAAAACAACACTGTGGTGAATATGAGGGTGCTTCAAAAAATTTGTGGAAAGTTCCATTTTTCCACAAATTTTCTGACGCCCCCTCCTATTTGCTAAATATTCATGAATGCATGAGTAGATGAAGTTCAAGAGTAAGACCCCTGTCTAAAATCCGTCCTTGAAACTTTTATCTTTTGCGGGGTGGGGTGGGTAGGAATAAAGAATGTGGGTTAGGGTTAGCACTGTAGTTAGATATAGGCTAGGCCTAGTAATTCACTTAGTGTTAGGGGTATAGTAAGGGCTAGGGTTAGGGGTTGGACAAGGAGTTAAAGTTACAGTTATGTTTTTTTTTTTTTAATTGAAATATATTAGATTTCTTAATGTGAACGTTCTGTAACTACATTATGCCTTCATTTTACTTTCTTTTTTGTTCTAAGTACAGCAAACTAGTACTTCTGGTTTCTTATTTTTAGACTTGTCAGTTTGTTTTCCTCTGAATGTTTCTATATCTGGGTTGAGTTTTGGGTGATGTTGTCATATGTTAACCTAGCGTGCCCACTAACCTCCGCTTCTCTCTCATTTCATTTTCAGAGTCTGGCTTGTTGTGCTACTGACCTTTTAGCGCTATGTATCTTGAGGCCTCCTGGAGAGTTTGGTGTGGACATTGCCCTGGGCAACTCACAGAGATTCGGGGTGCCCCTGGGCTATGGAGGGCCTCACGCAGCCTTCTTTGCTGTCGGAGAGAACTTGGTGAGAATGATGCCTGGAAGAATGGTAGGGGTGACAAGGTAAAGTAGCTCATGTTTCCACTTTTCACTGTGCTGATGATTTTCTCTGTCCTTCTCCGGATCACAAAATGGGTACTTTCACTCTTAATTTAACTGGGCCACGTTGGGTCTATTCAGGAAATGTCTAACATAGATTGGGAGAAAAGAACTCCCATGTTTATCATTAACTACCATTAAATCGGCTCCAATTCAAAGTAACCATGTGAACAACAGAATGAAATGTTGCCCAGTACGCCTGCGCCATCTTTACAATTGTTTGGAGCCCATGATTGTAGCCACTCTGCATTTTGAGTGCCTTCCATTGTGACGGGAGTCAAAATGGCCCCAGATTCAAATATATTCGATAGCAACTCATTCATTGAGCCTTAAACAGGAAAAGACAAAACAAAGACAGTTATCCTGAATGAAAGAAACTGTCTGTCAGTATCACACAGTACAGAGGCAGTGGAGTCTGCTGACTCTCGCTCACCCCTGGGGTTCATTTCAGACGTTTGACAGAAAACAAAGAAGCTCATAACAATTGGTAGGATAATTCATCACTGTTGCAGGAAGGGCCATAATTGGGATACGTACATAATTGTACGATAAAAAAAGGTTATGGATTGACTGGCTGCTCTGCAAAGCCATCTTTGCGTTGTTCCCGGGTCCGGCTCCCTGCTCCCTGTAGCCACCTCCACCGCAGTCCTTCTCTGCCGCCGCTGAGGACTCCGGCAGCTCTCTCACCAGAGTCCCCGTACTTGCACTCTTTGTCATCCTCTGTATTGGATCACTGGCATGCCCCATCATGTCAGACGCAGCTGTGAACACCAGCTCTGAAATCACCACCAAGGACTTAAAGGAGAAGGAAGGAGGTTGTGGAGGAAACAGAAAATGGAAGGGATGCACCCGCTAATAGGAACACTAACGAGGAAAATGGGGAACAGGAGGCTGACAATGAGGTAGACAAGGAAGAGGAAGAAGGTGATGGTGAGGATGAAGATGAGGAGGCCAAGGCAGCTGCGGGCAAATGGGCAGCTGAAGATGATGATGATGTCGTTGACACCAAGGAGCAGAAGACCGACGAGGATGACTAGACAGCAGAAAAGGAAAAGTTAAACTTAAAAAGGCCACCGTGACCTATCCGTCCTCCACTTCCCGTCTCAGAATCTAAATGTGGTCACCTTCGAGTAGAGAGTTCCACCCCCTCACTTTGGGCAGCGCCGCCTGCAGATAACAAGGGCTCACCACCACCCAACCAAAACCACGATGTGAATTTGCAACAGGGGAGAAAAAAGAACCAAAACTTGCAAGGCCCTGCTTTTTTTCTTAAAGTACTTCAAAAAGGAAAATTTGTGTTTTTTATTTACATTTTATATTTTTGTACATATTGTTAGGGGTCAGCCATGTTTAATGATCTCGGATGACCACACCAGCCTTTGGAACGTTGTCAGTCCTAATTCTGACTTTACTTGTGGTGTGACCATGTTCATTATCATCTCAAAGGATTAAAAAAAACCTCGTGAAAAAAAGCAAAAACAACAACAATAAAAATTACACTCTTATTCCGAACATTCTGGTAACTTTTTTTGTGTATGTACTTAGCTGTACTATCAGGAGTTGGTTTGTATGATATGGTTAAAAAAGTCCAAAGATAAAGTTTCTTTTCCTTTTTTTTTTTTTGTCTATGAAGTTGCTGTTAATTTTTTGGGGCCTGTTTGATGTAAGTGTGAAACAGTGTTGTCCAACAATAAACCGGAATTTTATTTTGCTGAGTTGTTCTAAAAAAAATGGTTCTTGGATGCTTCTTAGTGGATGGGAATGACTCATGACCATGCAGCCTCGAGTCATCTTCACCAGGACCCCAACTTGTTACTTAAACTAAAATCAGTAACGACACACCCAGCAAGTGCCCCTCCCTAGGCTCATAGGGAGTTGGTACCTACTTTTTTTTTTTTTTTTTTTTAAGGTTTTTATTGTGGCTTGAGTGAAAGTTTACAGGGTAGATCATCAGTTTTACATTCAACAAATCATACACCTTGTTTCATTACAATGATTATAATCCCCTCCATGTACCATCAGTTAACAGTATTTCTCTCTATTCATTTTAGCTTTTTTTAAAAAACAAAACAAAACAAAAAAACCCACTCAGGCATATATAATAATTTACATCTCCAAAGGGCACATTCTGCAAGTTTGCCACCTGGCCACCAGCTAAAAAGTCCCTCTCTTCCCATGAATGTAGGGTCCTCAGCCGCTCCCCCTTCTCCATGACCCCATCTCTGCCTCTGTCTCTGGTGTCGCTGCTTCTCTGGATAAGGTACCGCGTTCTGCCTGTGCTCTTTTCCCTTGAAGGTCCTAGGGTCCTCTGTTTCTAGACTGTAAGATTAACCAATTCCCTGTTTTGTTACAAAACTTCTACCTTTGCAATTTGGACAGTCACAATTAGTCATGATAATAGTTACTCGCTATTGAATCATACAAATCTTATCCCCATCTCTTTTCACCAGACCCATCTAGACAAGATGAAAACTATTTAACAGGGATTCTTTCTTTGCCCCCATACTTTTAAACTAAACTCCCTTTTGAAACCTTGTAAGCCAGTCACTTCGTGCCTTTATCGCCCCCTCATTTTAGGTAAACAATGCCTAAGTTGCCCATCCCTATCTGCCCTGTGTACAGAGGAGATAGCATTGATACTAGATGTGAAGACTCCTTCCCTCTCTGTTGGTATTTAGAGTTACTACCTCTATGAGTAGTAACTACCTCTATGAGTAGTAACTCTAAATACCTACTGAATGTTTTAAAATCAAGAAAGGTGTGCGAGAAGGTTGTATTCTTTCACCATACTTATTCAACCTGTATGTTGGGCAAATAATTCGGGAAGCTGGGTTCTATGAAGAAAAACGTGGCATCAGGATTAGAGGAAGACTCATTAACAACCTGCGATATGCAGACGATACAACCTTGCTTGCTGAAAGTGAGGAGGACTTAAAACATTTACTGATGAAGATCAAAGAGCACAGCCTTCAGTATGGATTACATCTCAATGTAAAGACAAAAAAAATCCTCACTACTGGACCAATAAACAACATTCTTTATCAGTGGAGAAAAGATTGAAGCTGTCAAGGACTTCATTCTTCTTGGGTCAACTATCAACACTCTCGGAAGCAGCGGTTAAGAGATCAGACGCATATTGCATTAAGCAGATCTGCTGCACAAGACCTTTTTAAAGTGTTGAAGAACAAAGATGTCAGCTTGAGGACTAAGGTGCGCCTGACCCAAGCCATGGTATTTTCAGTAGCCTCATATGCATGTGAAAGCTGGACAGTGAATAAGGAAGA